TTGACAAATCACAATCGATTATTCTTCTGTACTTTGTCTGTGATTGGTCAATTTCTTACTATTACGGCCTACAACTCTCCATTGTAGACGGCTCTGTATACATTCTGATTGGTTAATTTTCTTACGGCTACGTCTTACGGTCTTCAATAATTTTATGTGTGATGGTCTTTATATCAGTGAATAATTCGGTCAAAATAGCGTATGGACAAGGTGGTTCGGTCCTTTGAGTCTTATATGCACCAAATCAATAATTCGGTCGAATTTATTTTATACGATTAGTCTCATCACAACATTAAAATGGTAAGTTTTTTTTTTAATGCGCATTCAAAAATTGAATATTTACGTATACATGTTTGAAGGTTATAAAAGCAATACATTTATCGATCAGAGAATAAATAAGAATACTATTATTATTGTAGCCGAAAGGCAAGACGAGGAGATTTATTGACAAAAAGAATTCGGTTACCTTTCACCTGGTACATCGTTCACAAAAAGATCCGTTAGTAGCAGATGAAACCGCTCCACAGAGAGTTCTTGTACCAGTTAGTGGCAAGCAATCAACTGTAACAGATACAAAGATAGACAGTGAGAAGCGTAAAGAAGAGCAACGGAAGTATGGTATCTACTTTGATGATGACTACAATTACTTACAACATCTTAAAGATGTCAAAAAGCTGGATGTTGATTGGATACCTGTTGAGAATCAATCCAAATGTGACAAGAATGCTCCAAAAATTAACTTGCCATCTTCTGTATTTGCCTCGAATGTGGAGGAAAAAGTTGGTATGCTCAACAAAGCAGCTCCAGTTTCTGGACCACGATTGGATCTTGATCCAGACATAGTTGCTGCTATGGATGAAGATTTTAATTATGATGACCCTGAGAATCAATTGGAAGATAATTTCATAGAACTGGCTAATGCTGATTCAAGTGATGCTGAAAGTTCTGATAGAGAATATGGTAAACTTGTCGAAATATGGCTTTAAGAATCTCTTGTGTTTATATTCTGATTTTTATATAACTGTTTAATTTTTTTTATAGAATATGAATTAAATGAGTCTGACAAGGATCATATGGGTCTTTCGGATGAAGAAGCAGATGAAGTGGGTGGTTTACCACGATATACTTTTAAAGAAGAAGAAACAAAATCACGATTTACAGAATATTCTATGAGCAGCAGTGTGATAAGAAGGAACTCACAACTTACATTATTAGATGAAAAATTTGAGGAGGTTTATATTTTTGGTTTGCAACATATTACACAAATTTCTTGTTTTATATGTTCTAATTGTTGCTTCGTTTACAATTGTACAGATGTACGCTACATACAATGACAGTGAAATTGGCTCTTTAGATTTTGATGAAATAGAAGGACATGTCGAGCATAATTCGGATCTTCTTATACAATATGCTACAGAATTTGAAAAAAAGAAAAACGAAGATGTGAGTATGATATAAAAAGTTAGAAAGAGACGTATACTAATAATGGCTACATTTATAGACGGAAAATATCGCGGAGCTTCTGAAAAATAGAATGAAAATTATAGAAAAGGAATATTCGAGTTCTGGAGAAGATGATTTAGAAAGGCTAGTTGTTGATGCGCGTGAGAAAAACAAATGGGATTGTGAGAGTATTCTTAGCACGTATAGTAACATTTATAATCATCCTAAATTAATTAAAGAGCCGCCAAAGGTAAATTTTATTTAGGAACATTTATATTGAATTCTCTTATTTGTTTACCAAATATTCAATATATATGTATATAAGTATATATATTATTTGAAATTTTTTGGTTATGTGTATTCTTCTGAACAGCGTCCACAGAAGATTGAAATTGATCGAAAAACTGGCATTCCAAAAAATATATTAGGCAAACATAAATTAACAGCTGCGGCATTAGCCCAATTTGATTTGGAAAATTGTGTAGCAAAAGGCCCACAGTCCGTGGCAGAGAGCAGGAGATCTACTGTAAGTGTTCTAAGCATAAGACCCAAAGAAGAAACTCCCGAAGAGAGAAAAGAAAGGAAGAAGTTACTCAAAGAATACAGAAAAGTAATTGCGCTACTTTCGTCAATATTTAATGGCTAAATTATTTGTTTGTTACCACATATATACGTACTTTCTCAAATTTTAGGAAAGGAGAATGGAACGGAAAGCAAATATTGAAGCATTTAAAGAGGAAAAGAAACGCCAAGAAAAAGTCAGACTGAACAACCGACGAAATATTCAAGGACAGCATATAATATAAATTTTAAAGAATATATATGTGTAATTAAAAATAATCTTTACAGATTCAATATTTCTTTCATCTTATGTGCAGAACAAATCATGTGTTTTACATAAACTACTAAATATATTTCTATATTGTATTATAAATATTTTACTAAATCTGTCATTTTTTGATATTAGAAATATATGTATAATATGTACATATAAAAAAACATCCTATCACACATTTAAATTTTTTCTGGTTTTTGATCAAATGAAATTGGTTTATATTCGAACTGTTTTGTTAGATCGAGATTGATTGAAATCACGAGTTTGCGCTTGTTTTGACAATTTTAAGATCTGTCACAAATTTGACAGCGACCGTTTTCGTTGTTATAAAAATTATTGCAACAAAATTCGTCACTTAGAAAGCACTCGCTCACTCGTAACATTAAAAATTGCCTTTTGATTTTTCACGTTTGAGGCTTTGAAGCATCGACGAATTTTCTCGCGACATCACACGGAATAACGGAACACGAGAGCAACCACGTGAGAGCACGAGACGCACAGAGCGCCGTGTATTTTAAGGCGGGGCAGAGGGCGGAAGTTCCAAAGTCATATGATCGATTCGTTATAACTCTCTGTTCTTGACTCGTTCGTCGCAAAGATGGCCAGCCAGACGCAGGGTATCCAGCAGCTTCTGGCCGCTGAAAAGCGCGCCGCGGAGAAGGTGTCGGACGCCAGGAAACGTGAGTACATCTCGTTGACGTGTCAAGTTAAAATAATCTGGTGGCAGGAATATCCGCGTCGCGAACGCGACCTACACGACCGCAAGTTGTATCTTGTCGACAGCAACGTTAAATTCTTCCCCGCCTTAATTTTTGACATTTGGCTTGTCGCCGCATTGCGAGCACATAGAAATTTTTATTTTAATCGAAACTACTGGAGCGACACGCGTAATTCCGATGGTTCGCAGTGAGAATAACCTTGAACTAACCTGCGCGCGTGATCTGTTTTGTGTGTTTCTTGTAATTATGTGTTAAATTTTACGTGAGTTTGCACTAACTTCTCAATAAGAGCTTGATTTAGTTGAGCTTTTCGAGTTTTCTTCAAATATCTTTAGAGATTTTGTTGTATGTTGATGCCTTTGTGTGTTAATAATTGAGTTTAAGAACTGGACTAGAATTATACTAATGTTTTAGTGATTTGATGGTGAAATGGAATTAAATCAGAATGTAACAATCTGTAGGTAAAAAATTTAAACTTAGTGTGTGTGTCGTGTTATAAACTATCTTTTAATCTCTTTATGTAGGTAAAGCTCGTCGTCTGAAGCAAGCTAAAGAAGAAGCTCAAGATGAAATTGAGAAGTATCGACAAGAACGGGAGAAGCAGTTCCGTGAATTCGAAGCCAAAGTAAATGTTATTTACCATTACTTTATATGTACTTGCATGTTGAATTTTGTTATTATCATGTGTGTTATGTGTAGCACATGGGCTCGAAAGAAGATGTAGCTGCGCGCATTGAAGCAGACACGCGACTCAAGATAGAAGAAATGAATCAGACTGTTGCTGTGCACAAAACTGATGTGAGTTTGTCAGTTTTTGAGAGGCTCTGCGATTTAGGTCAAAACAATTATCTGAAAAATATATCAATGTATTTAATTTTTCTAACTCTAGGTCATGCTTAAAATCCTGGACTTGGTGTACGATATCAAGCCAGAACTGCACAGCAATTACCGCATTGAGGTCTAAGCTACAAGAATCGTTACTCTAATAGCTATAAATATGATGCATCTTATGCTATATAAATGTACATTATAAATACTACTGTTTGAGGTATTATTCCATATCTTAATATGTATTTATCGCTGTTATATTGTATGACATGTTATAATATATTTTATCGGAGAAACTCTGTATACAATGTAGCTCTAGACAGTGATACTCAAACTAACTGATTAGAGATCTTTTTCCCACAGTTACCACACACGACAATAAATGTAATTGTTAATTATTGCTGAGCTTTTCACTGAGCACACATTTGGACAGTTTGAGAATTGCTGTTATGTAGTTGCATCGTAACAACAACAACAACAAATATATATATATATATATATATACACACAAGTGTATCGATAAAACGTCGACCGGATGTGTCACGGCCTAGATACATCAGGACGACGTTTGATTGTTAAGATAAGGGTGATTTAGGGTGGTGGTGGATAAATTATGTATGTCGATAAACGTATGCCATTAGATGTCATTCCATAATTCTGTCGCATCGAGGACGTAAGCCAAACTTTCCTCTACAACCTCTCGCGGTTCACGGACATGCTCCCAGTCGACGGTGAACCACGCGACGATGTAGCAATTTTTCGAAAAACTTCTTTTATCTTTGAATGGATAGTTTTGCCTCATATGTATACTCCGTCTCTGTAAGCTGATTGAATGTATCTGTACAGTATTAGTGTTCAAAATACAAAAAAATAATAAAACCCAAACTGTACACCATATGGTCTTTTTGTTCTTTCCAGTTGTCAGTTGTAATAATTTTGGATTGAGAAAAGTATTATAAATAATCTTCGACAGAGTATTAATATTCAAAGAAATTGAACATGTTAACAAGAGAGAGGACAGCGTCCGCGGATGTCAAAAATGAATTAAATTAAAATCACATCTTACAACAATGCATGCAAAAGTGACGTGCATATAAATGATAAAGCTAACACAATAAAGATTCGTTGAATATTTTCTTTACCACGTTATACAAATGTTTCACGTTTTATTATAATCACATCACATTTGGGACTTTGAATTATTAAATTAATAATATACCGAAACAATAATAAAATTGTATCATAAATTTTATTACCATACAATCGATACAAAGATGATTTTTTTACTGATAAATTTCCGATGAATTAAATTAGTCGAACATTTTATTATTGACGCGACAATAGATTTATATCTTGTGTATGTACATGCACCTTTACCACACACTCACACGCCGCGTACGTACTACATCACTGCACGGGAAGTGCATGCGCGTTGCACGTGAGTGCCGACGGTAGGGATGATCAGCTGGTGCACTTAACCTCCCCGTCAACGCCGGAGTCTCGTGTCGTTTTGGAGTATGACGGTACGCGATTTGTTTACGTGTGTGTCACGATTTGTTCGTGTGTGTGCGCCGCGCCGCTAGCGCCACCAGATAGTGCGCGGCCGGAAAGCGATTCGATTTCGCGAACTAAGCTGCGGCGGCGGCGAGCGGTCAGTGCGTGTGTCATTCCGCGCCGAGAAATGGAAGTCGACGAGACGCGTTCGGTTCCCAGCAGAGCGAGAGCGAGCAGCACGTTGTTGACGTTACATGAAGTTGCGCGCGAATCCGCCGCGGTGACAGCTGTGCACGTACGTCGCTTTTGAGAAGTTTTGTTATGACAAAGAACGTACCGCCGGCCACGACCGGTCGCCGACCAGCCGCGTATCCGGAGGAGAGATTGTTGTCGCCGCCGCCGCCGCCGTCATCGTCGTTGTTGTCATTGTTGTCGTCGTCGTCCTTGTCGCGGTTATTATTCTCGTCGTAAACGTAACGTGCTTTTCGCGCATCACAAGTGTTTTGTTTCGTTTTGTTTTCTCTCGTTTAGGAAAGAGAAAGAAAATCTCCAACGGCGAGAAATTTAAGAGCCAAGAGAGTCCAAAGGTTGCCGGCGTGAGGAAAGTAGTTGCGAAAATGTGGTGCCTCGTTAGTCAAGCCAATTCCGTTATCCTTGAGGTGCAGGTGGACCCGAAGGCAATCGGCCAGGAGTGTCTTGAGAAGGTAAGTTGTGCACTTTTGTTTTCAACATTGTTTTCGACACGTAATGTCGTATGTATATAATATGCCAGAACTTGGCAGTTTGTTGGCACACTTCGCGTTTGTTTAATATGAGAAGGTAATGTGTCCAAAGCAAATACTTAAATTCACATTAACATTTCACGATATAATTCCTCTTCTCGCGCGCGATCTTTGTATTGAACGATATTATAACAACGGACTAATTAATTTGTTGACGTGGAATAAATAATAAGAGCTTAAATACATTTGCATACGTAATACGCGTTCTTTGTGTGAATCCCGACGCGCTTCGCGAATTCGGGTAATATTTGACTTCAAAAACAAATCTCTTCTCTTTTAATTGAAACTGATTATATCGTTGTATCAAACAAACGATGTATAACGACGTTTTAACGAGATAATGCGGGGACAAATGTGTTATAAAAATTGTATATACGTGTACTAGCAACTTGCCAAGTTCGACCTGGTTTTTCGAAAAGAAGAAAGAGAGTTGTTTTTCCTACTAATGTGCATTATCCTTGAACAATATCCAAGACGCGATTTCTTAAAATTTATCCGAGAGAAACCCGTGTGTGGGAACTATTTGTCTTTTTCCGTCCTTGTCGATGCGAGCTCTGGATGAGTCATCGTACAAACCTTCCTTCGCTCGGAGAACTTTCAGCTGAGCGGTGGATTCAGAAGAATCGTGCGCCGTTGTTGCAACTCGAAGAGAATGCGTCCTGGTGTTGTTGCAACATATGTCACCTTGAAGCGGGATTTACGATTTCGCGCGAAAAGCAAAAACAAAAACACACAATGGCGGGATTCACGGCGCTGTACCATATTGTAAGTTTCGATACGCGACAATGTTTCTTTTTTTGTCTTTCAATTCTTTGGACGCACACGGACAATCGATCTATCGATCGATCGATTGGAAAACAAACGAGTAACAAATCGTTCGCTCTTAACGAGCGTGAAATCGTCGTAATTGCACATTCTCGCGTCTCCCGTCAAGAGTGGTTTCTGCGAGTTCGAGCGAATCGATATTAGCGCGTTTGATATAGCGATCGGGATCAACGTGCGCGCGCGGTCTATGCAGGAAAGTTTGGCGCAAAGTTTACCTTAGAACGCCGCGGGCGCGCGCTTCGATTTTCCGAGGAAACTTGGAATTTTCTCGCAGCTTTCTTTTTCTCGATTCGCTGTGCAGGTACGACTTCGGCGTGTGCCGTATATATTCCGTGCCGTATTTACGTTAATTTGAAAAGTTACGTAAAAATACGTGGCTATACTATTTCCTTTTTTCGCGGACATGAGACTGATCCGTCAAGGATATCAGTTCGCGTTTAGTTTCCGAGACAGAGATCGAAAGGAAAAAGGGTTACAGTGATGCAACCTTTCTCACGCAACTCGCGCGATACACTTTAGTTTCGTATAAAATCGGTAAAATTCAATTATACGTTCCGTTTGTTTCTTTTTATTTAATCAATTATTATTATATCAGATAAAGAACAGAAAAGATGATCAGAATGGGCACGTGAAACGAAACGAGCGTTAAACATTCATTAAAAAAAAAACTAATTTGGTGTTCGTTAGAATGCTCGTATATATTCAAAGTTGTTATCGGTTACAAAACTTTGAATAGTCATTGCATTGTTGTAAATGAGTTATTTAGAGTTGTGCATCAGATCAAATTGCGAACATAAAATGAATTTTAATATAAATAACAAATGAGAGTTAATACATTACAGGCGTTCGATTAATGCAAAAGCGAAACATTTACTATTGTTTGTTACATACACAATACGAGCGTACTTATTTTATTTAATTTTTCTTTTCATCACATCAGAGTTGCGAAAGATAAAGTCGTTAAATTTGAATAGCGATTAATTTCACAAAATGCGTTTATCTTATAATATATTATTTTTATTTTGTAATATATTATTATCGAAGAAATCAAAAAGTCGTACATCAAATTGTTTTGATTTTGTCGCAAAGTATTCTTGTTCAAAGGTCAACTATACAGATATATTCACATCTGTTTACCGAGAAATTCGCGATAATGAGTGATAAATTTGTTCATAAAAGTCACCCATGCCTCGCGATGATACGAGAAGAGGAGCACAAACACCACCTTATCTCGCGAATGCAAAATGTTCTTTTTACTGCATCGATAATATCGATTCAGTGCAGCAAATAACACATATCGCTGCACTGAGATACTTTTCAGCACCAGAAAAATAAAGTGTCATTTAATTCGATATCCGATTGTAATTTCTTGTATTTTTCTTTTCTTTTTTTTTATCTCGCGCGATGTATCGATTTGTCTAGTGGCCTGATTAATACAGATTAGTGCGAGCATCTGATTTATTGTTAAGACAAACTCATTCAAATAACTCGTATCGAGTTTGTCTTATTTCTCGTTCGGGCTTTAATAGGCTAATAATATATTTAATACGCTTAGAAACACGAGTTATTTAGACGCAACGTGTGGTCTAAGGTGTAGCTCTCGCACGTGTGCAACAGATGCCTAGAAAGTAATGGTCAGTATGCGATCTCGAATTTCGTTACGAACGTCGTTACCTCGAAATACCGAGAGATCTTTGAAAAGATCGCTTTGAAGTTTTTTAGTTCTCTACTTCACTTATTACATTTGAAGCATATATTCTCTCAGTTTTTTTTATATTTTACTGGACAAGATATGCGAGAAAAAAATTAGACGAAAAACTCAATAGTATAAATGATTTGAACGTGAAATTGTTTTCAATGATTTTATACTTGACGTTAAATTGATAGAAAAATTTAAATTGTATCTGTGGCGCCATATATATGTTTGTAGAATTAAATGGAGCCAGCTAGAGCATTTACTTGGAAATCATATTTCTCGTAATAGAGTCTTGATAAAAATATCTTTGCTCCCCGCGGCGCATCTTGCTTGGAAGGAGGGGTGCAACTCATTTGGTTTCCATTACACACTCCTTATGCCACGGTCGACTCGCTGCATTATCATTCCTATAAGTTGCAACGTTCGCAGGAAAAGCAGAGGGAAAAGACGGAGGCTAACGGAGGGTATCGGGATTTTGATCGTATTCAATTTATCTCCGACCCCGTGGGGTCACCTTACCGACCATCTCCGGGATCTTACCTCCGACGAATCGATTCTCGTTTCTCTCTTTTCGCAGTACATTTCTATTCGAAAGCGAAATACACAGTCAACGTGTCCAATTGACAAACGATTTTTTTTGTTGGAATTTTTGCAAGTTCTAATTCATTGCGAGAAATAGATAAATTCAGAATTTTTTCTTCTCTGTATTATTTTCAGTGTTTTAAATTTAACGACAAAAAACCACATAAAAAAGAATCAAGCACGTTATCGTGTGTTGCGATAAGAGAGATTAATTTTGCATTAATATATTGAGATTGTCAAAGAGAGCGTACAATCTATTTTCAAGATGACATCATCCCGACTTCGGTTTGAATAAGCTGCAGTATACACTAGTTTGTACAGCAATGGCATATAATCGTGACCCAACGGCCGCACTAATACTCGCGCTTGTTATGTCGCGTATACGCGCTCGAGAGAGATAGAAACGAAAGAAAGAGGAGGAGGAGGAGAAGGAGGAGGAACCGGTTATCACTCCGACGTCGAAAATAACTCCGAAGGTCGGGATGAACCGAAAATAAATCTTTGAAGCTCCTCGGTGCGCGCGCGTTTATTATACGCGCTTGCATTTTCGTCAAAGAATATTTCTCTCGTTACTACATCAGAAATATGTTAATTGCACGTAATGTTATTCATCGGATTACAATTAATTGCTACATACGTATCGATGTATGCGGATTCTAATGCTTGAACACACGCTCGCGGCGCATTAGTAATTCGAAATTAGCGGCCAGATATTGTTAATCCGCGGTTACGCCGCGGGCGCGACGTATGTAATTTCAATGAACGTTGAAACGCTGTTTATTCGTGCGATGCGTGTAACTACATGAGTAAGTACATATTATGCAAATGACGTGGAACTTTAGCTACACGCGCGTATATATATATATTGTATATATGTATATATATATATACGTTTGCGCGCTGCTCTACAGTCACGTGCACCGAAAATCCTGGTGTTTGTAAGCTTTGTTGGAATCTCACGCGGGACAAACCGGATGTTTCGCGCGCAAACACCGCACCCGGAGACTTCCGGTTGCTTCCGATGTGTGTTTGTTTGTTGTTAGTATCAATCTGCGCCGCTATAATTGCAACGCGTCGCCAAGTAGGTCGAGCCGGTCTAACTGGGTCGCAATTTCACTGACCGTCGCATTATTATTATTAGGTTCCCACCTGCGAAATTCTGCGTACGTTCGTGTTTTTTGTGCGCGCTCAGCGCAATCGCCTCTGACGCGGCGTGCCCCCAAAATGAAATACGAACTGCGGCTCATCGTAATGTGACTCAGCGCGTTTATCTTTCCGATCGAAAGGTACGTGTAAAAACCTCGGACGGGAAAAAAAGAAGCGTTTATTTTTTGTCGAACTACGCGCTCTGAGTCTGATTGCAAAAATGCGCCAGGTTTTTCACGGTAAACGTTAATTAAAGGATTCGAGGATTTTATCTTTGTTAAAAAAAAGTCCGTACTACTTATTCGGTCAATATCGTTCTTAACGTTTCGCGCGTGTTGTAACGCGATACGTTCTATCTTCTTCAAGAAGCTTTTTAGAGATCGTTGCGCGCTGTCGTGCACGGAGATTTTTATAAAGCTGGCTGTGCAAAAGCGCGCTCCGCTCTATCGCGATATATCGACTATTTCGATAATACCTCCGCTTTCTGCGATATCGCTTCCATCGCAAGTATCGCACAGTGAGGTAGAGAGCGCGTGTAAAGCATATATTCAATCGGAAAGAAACTCGCGTGTGTGCGCGCGCGCACGAGACGGCGCGCGCTTGAAATTTTCCCATCAGCTTATCGGCGTCGCGTCGCTATGGAAATTAGGTCGAAATTGGCCGGAATCCAATC